AAGAAAGAGAAAGAGAGAGAGAGAGAGAGAGAGAGAGAGAGAGAGAGAGAGAGAGAACGCTTTTGGAGGAGGAGGGGAGAGAGACGGTGAAGAAGGGAAGAGCCGCAGAGGAAGAAAGTGAATGAGCGCTCGTGGAAGGACAAAGAATAGTTGGCTGCCGGGTGAGGGGTGGAGGCAGGGCGGGGAGCGCAGTTACCGCCCCTCCTGGCCGCGCTCTCGCCTTCAGATCCCTCTGCGATGAGACTGTTTGCAGTGATGCTCGGAGGGCAGGCACCTGCTGCTCTGTAATGATTCAGCCCCTTTCAGCCGTCGCGTTAACACAACAGGATGCTGTTGCTACTGTCACTGCTGCCTCTCCTGCCGCCGCCGCTGCTGCCGCCGCCGCCGCCGCTGCTGCCGCTGCCGCTGCCACCACCACCGGGCCTCAAGGTCTTCACCTGCTGTTTGAGAGGCCCCGGCCACCCCCCTTTCTGGGCCCTAGTCCTCCAGAGCGCTGTGCTGGCTTCCTGGAGCCAGCCTGGTTGGCAGGGCCCCCTCGCCTCTCTAGGCCACCCCGCTTCTATGAGGCGGGTGAGGAGCTGACTGGACCAGGGGCTGTGGCTGCTGCCCGCCTCTACGGTCTAGAGCCTGCCCATCCCCTGCTATACAGCCGCTTGGCTCCACCGCCGCCACCAACTGCGGCCCCGGGAACCCCTCACCTTCTCAGCAAGACCCCGCCAGGAGCCCTTTTGGGGGCACCACCTCCGCTTGTGCCCGCCCCTCGGCCTAGTTCCCCACCTCGGGCCCCTGGCCCAGCCCGGGCTGACAGGTGAGGGAAGGGGAGGGGCAGGGGCATAGCTCCATCCCCCTTTTCTTTTGACAAGGTCCTAGAGCTGAGGTTTCAATCCAGGGCTGGAGGGCAGAGGTCATGACCTCACCAGCCACCTCTGAGGTCGTGGAATCTGGGAGCAGTAAGCCCCAACCCCCACTAGATCAAGCATCAGTTGGATCTTGGGGTCACTGGGAGGGCAGAGGTCACAAGCCTTTAGAGAGGTGTGTGTGTGTGTGCGTGCGTGTGTGTGAGTTTGTGTGTGTACATGAGAGTGGGGGTCATTTCAGAGGTCATAGCTCGTAATCTCCTGAGGTGCACCATTGCCCCTTCTGAGGGCCCCTAGGCCCTTGGCCTGCCTCCCCAAGGGCTCACTAAGCCAGAGGCCAAAGTGCCCCCCTCCTCTTCACCTACCACCCAAGTCCTCATGCCCTCTCAGGGCTGGGGGAGGAGGGGCTAAAGGAAGGGGGGTTCCATGTACATATTTATCTCCTCTTCCACATAGCCCCCCAGACCTTTTTGTACATTTTTACAGGGGTGCCCCTCCCAATAATCCCCCTTCCTGGTTAATTAAATCCTAAGACTGGTGCTGTGTTCCTAGCCTCTGGCCTCTCTGTGGGGGGAGGGGGTATTGCAGGGGGGAGAGCTGGGAGGGAACAGGCAGGAACCCAGGGCTTATCCCTGGAAATCTGGGGCCCAGCAGGAGGTGGACCAACAGGAAAAGGAACCTGGGTACCTAGGCTAGAAAGAAGGGCAAGTGCTTCCTGCTTGGCTGTCAGCCCAGGTTCCCCCCACCTGTTCCTGTTACCTCTGTGTGCCCCCATCCCCAAAGGCGCAACCTCTAAGCTTCAGACTCCACCTTAGTGGCTTGGTCCCCCCCACTCTATTTCCAAGTGCCCCCAGGATTCCTGGGCCTTGCTCTCCAGAACCCTGTTCCCCAGAACCCTGCCGCAGGCTCCTTAAGGGGGGCCAGAGAAGGTCACCATGTACCACACACCAAAGAAGGGGGTCGGCCCCGGGGGTGGGCAACACAGGCAGCTTCTTCAGCAGCCTCTTGGCAGCAGCCCCAGCCTTCCCAAAGCAGCAGGTGCCCCCAGGCTGGGGCCCAACCTAGAAGGCAGGGGTCGGTTTAACAAAAACATAACATTGACTTTTTTCCCCAGTGGGACTTATTCTGTAACATGACTTGCGGATATTTATATAAAAATGAGTGTTACAATGAGGCCCCTTGGCTCCTCTTTGAGTGTGTGTGGGTCACCTGGGGGGGATTGGGCTGGGTCCTGGGGTTGGGGAGGGATGAGGACAATATTGTCCATGTCCTGATGAAGGTTTTCCCCTCCTTCCCACCTGGGCAATTTGTTCTACTTCTGGATGGATGGATTGGAGTGTTGGGCACTGAAGTTTTTCACATTTTTCTACAGCCCAGGAGTACATATTCCAGTTGACCCTTGAACACGGTTTGAGCTGCACAGCTCCACTTATACGTGGTTTTATTCCCAATAAATACTTCATACAGTACCACATGATCAATGGTTGGTTGAATCTGTGGATGTGGGACCACAGATACGGAGAGCCAACTATGGGACTTGAGCATCTGAGGATTTTGGTATCCATGGCAGGTCCTGGAATCAATACCCCAGGGTCAACTGTGTGTAAGATTCAAGCAATAGTGCTTCCCTGGTGGCGCAGTGGTTGAGAATCTGCCTGTCAATGCAGGGGACACGGGTTCGAGCCCTGGTCTGGGAAGATCCCACATGCCGCGGAGCAACTGGGCCCGTGAGCCACAGCTACTGAGCCTGCACGTCTGGAGCCTGTGGTCCGCAACGAGAGGCCGCAATAGTGAGAGGCCCGCGCACCGTGATGAAGAGTGGCTCTCCCTTGCCGCAATTAGAGAAAGCCCTCGCACAGAAACGACAGCCAAAAATAATTTTAAAAAATACTTTTTTAAAAAAAGATTCAAGCAATAAAGACAGCAAAACTAGATCTCCTGTTCACGTGTCAACATACCCCAGCCCTGCACCCTTCCCAAGGTAACCACTATTAGTCATTTGGTATTTGTGTTTACCTGCACATATGTATGAACATGGATAGTAGTTAATGTTAGAAATGATAAAAGATCTATAATTTTAAAAAAATCAGTATCGGTTTTTCTTTTATACATGGTCATTATAAAACAGTTCAAATACACAGAAGTACATAGTACAAAGAGAAAGTGCCTCATAATCCCATTCCTCAGAGATGGCCACTGTTAACTGTTGGGCATATTCTTCCAGTTATTTTACTAGCTGTATGCTCAAAATATAATGAAAAAAATGGGATCCTGTGAAATGTACTATTTTACAACTATCTTTTTACACTTAACATCATTCTTTGATGTAATCATTAAAAAAGAAGTGGACTAAACTGAGCTAGAGAGTCTGGCTCCCCCCCGAGCCACCTAGAATTGACTTGTTCCGAGTATACCCATCACCTTAGGAAAGATGCATCCAACACTCTCTGCTACCACCACACATACCCAAGACTTCTAGGGAGGACTCAGGTCTACCTTGCTCCAACAAGTCAGAAATGGGTTGACCAGGAGAAACTTGGCTTGCAGACAATATTTCACCTGGCAGTCCTTGTTTTCAGCTTCTCTTGAAAAATCCAAAGATCTGTTAACATTGTACCTGCTCTCCCTATGACTGTCACTTGAGATGGGGCGTATTCTCTCCAGATTGTCACTGTCCTTTCCACTCTCTTGTCTAGGAATGGGGCATTGGCATGATTCAGGGCACTTCCCTGGTCCCTGTAAGCATTTGGGTATGGAATTCTCAGTGAAATATTTTCTAGATATGTATATCCAACCTCTCCTAGATCTCTACTGCAAGTACCTCAGATCTCTGATGCTGCACACCAACCTACCCCTACTCCATTTCCACCTCTGAGAGTTTCACCAGCACCAAAGTCAGAAACCTCCCTCTGTCTGAGTCCCTGTCTGCACTGCCTCTTATACTTTCAACTGCTGTTCGCTTCATCTATCATGCCAGGTGCTGAACTAGTGGCTGGGGATACAGAGGTAAACAAAACAAAAGCCCAGCTTTCCTGGAGCTTATATGCTACTGTGAGAGAGGAGCAATAAACTCATACGAGAAGAGTGAAGGGAAAGAATCCCAAGGGCTATACCTTGTTAGGTCCTATCCTCAATAACCATTGTCTTCCATTGACCCATCTCTGGTTCTGACCCTAACTTATGCAGCTCCTTAGGCAGAGGTAAAAGGGCAGTCCAGAAACAACTCTCAACATTGGGGAAATACAAAACAAAACCCAAATCATTCACCATCAGGCTGCTATTTGGAAATGTGTTTCTTTGTTCTGAATGAGCTCAGCAGAGTGGCTGTGTAATCTTAAGCAGTGTGCTCATTTCTGTGCCATGGTTTCCTTATTTGCAAAATGGAGGGTTTTAAAAACAAATGTACTGATATATAATTCACATACCATACAATTCAACCTGTCTTTTATGACTGGCTTCTTTCACTTAGCATTATGGTCCCAAGGTTCATCCCTGTCGTAGCTTGCATCAGTACTTCTTTCTGTTTTATTGCCAGGTAACATTCTCCATTGTATGGATATGCCACATTGTGTTTATCCATTCTTCAGCTGATGAATATTTGGGTTGTTTCTTCTGACTATTATGAATAATGCGGCTGTGAATATCTGTGTGCAAGTTTTTGTATGAATGCATGTTTTCAATTTTCTTAGGTATATACTTTGGAGTGGAATTGCTGGGTCATATGGTGGCTCTACATTAAATATTTTGGGGAACGGCCAAACTAGTTTCCAAAGTGGCTGAACTATTTTACATTCCCACCAACAATATATGAACCTGGAGTTTTAATGGTTTCTTCTACCATTACTGCATGAATTTGCTACGTTAGTAAGCATAAAGTTCTTAGAACTGTGTCTGGCACAGGGTACATGCTCCAAGAACAACTGCTGTCATTGCTGGTGATGCCTTTCTGATCAGAAACCGTAAAAAAGAACTTAAAAGCTTTTGCACGGCAAAGGAAACCATAAATAAAATGAAAAGACAACCCTCAGAATGGGAGAAAATATTTGCAAATGAAGCAACCGACAAGGGATTAATCTCTAAAATTTACAGGCAGCTCATGCAGCTCAATATCAAAAAAACAAATAACCCAATCAAAAAAATGGGCAGATGACCTAAATAGACATTTTTCCAAAGACAACATACAGATGGCTAAAAAGATGCTCAACATCACTAATTATTAGAGAAATGCAAATAAAAACTACAATGAGGTATCACCTCACACCAGTCAGAATTGCCATCACCAAAAAAATTACAAACAATAAATGCTGGAGAGGGTGTGGAGAAAAGGGAAACCTCCTACAATGTTGGTGGGAATGTAAATTGGTACAGCCACTGTGGAGAACAGTATGGAGCTTTCTTAAAAAACAAAAACTAGAGCTACCATATGATTCAGCAATCCCACTCCTGGGCATATATCCAGAGAAAACCATAATTCGAAAAGATGCATGCACCTCAGTGTTCATGGCAGCACTATTTACAATAGCTAGGACATGGAAGCAGCCTAAATGTCCATCAACAGAAGAATGGATAAAGAAGATGTGGTACACATATACAATGGAATATTACTCAGCCATATAAAAGAATGAAATAATGCTATTTTGCAGCAACATGGATGGACCTAGAGACTGTCATACTGAGTGAAGTAAGTCAGACAGAGAAAGACAAATATCATATGATATCACTTATATGTGGAATCTAAAAAATGGGTCCAGATGAATGTATCCACAAAAGAGAAATAGAGTTACAGATGTAGAAAACAAACTTATGGTTACCAAGGGATAAGGGGGTGGGGGGTGTGTGGAGGGATAAGTTGGGAGATTGGGGTGGACATATACACACTACTATATCTAAAATAGATAACTAATAAGGACCTACTGTATAGCACAGGGAACTCTACTCAATACTTTGTAATGGCC